AGATAATATTGCAAATAAATTGTTTTTCTTATGATATTTTATTATAAGACAAGATTATATGTGTATAAATTTATATATTATTTTGCCCTTTTCATTTTGGATTTTGGATTGCATAATCTATAAGAAGCAATTCTCTCTCATCCTTTATCTCACTCTAAATATATGTCATGTGATTCAAACTCAAGATATTTTATTTGTACTATAAAAAAATTACCACTAAATCATTTATATTTTTACATAACACTTCATTGACATTTTTTTTTTTAAATTTACATAATTGTTATATGATATTAAATGTGTAAATGCATATCAATTCATATATTTCATCTCGTGAAAATACTTGCTAGAAATTATTGCCACCTCATGATGTGAGATTTGTTATAAATAATGCGTTCAAAGAGTTATTTTAATTTTAGTAATATCACTTCTCAAGAAATATAAACAAAATAGAAAAGTAATACGACCAAAAAATGAATAGATAAAAATGTCAATAAATAAAAAAAAGAAATTATGAAATGAATATCGAAAAGAAAAACATATTGTATATAAATACTGAGGAAGGATGTACCTGTGTGTGTTTTTTATTTTTTATTTTTATTCTTTCTTTCTATTCTTCTAACTAAGAAAACTAGTGAGGATCGTAATAATAAATAAAAAATTTGAGTCCTTCCTCCTTCCTATTTCTCTCATCACTCACTTCTATCTCTATCTCTCTCTTATTTGGTCTCTTTTTCCTATTTCTCTCATCATTTACTTTTTCTTCCTATGTCTCTCTTGTTTTGCCCTCTCACAAGTCACAAAGTTCTACTAGAGGTTCATTACCTTTATTGTCCATATTTTTGCTCTCCCAAGGCACTTCAACATCAAAAAGTTGTGAAGATCTTTTTTGTTTTTTAACACCCTATTAAAGTTGAATGTCTCATATGTCCCTTACTTTCTTTCTTAATTGATGTCTTTTTTAATCATTATAATCTTTCACATAACGTACTGTTTATACCTAA